AGCGAGATAATTCAGGAAACGCGACCCGGAGCCTTGAGGCGAGTTCTCTTTCAGAGGGCCCCTCGATAGTTCCGCTGCCGCAGCGACTTGCTCTCACGGCCGTTAGGTTAGGTTAGGTTGGGGTTAGAGACATCCGCGAAGGCGTAAAAATTATTCTTATCAGCGAACACATCGCCTACAGCAGCTTTTTCAAGGACAGGAGCAAGACGTCCGTATAAGGTTCTCCGAAGAATGGTTCGAAGATGACTGCGCACAGTAGATCGAATCAGTGAGAGAGGTCGGACATGAAAATTTTGACCCAAACTACAAATTTTGATGTTTAATTCGTAACAATTTAAATTTTTAGGGGTGTTTCTAGAAAGAAATTTCACGAGGGAACCAATGAAACCACTTTTGGAACCTCAAAGTTTGGTATTAACGTAGTTATAAGCTCTTAAAGTTTCCAAATTTTGTCCGACTTTTCCCATTGACTCGATCCTCTGTGCAGCGTAGCTGCAACAACCGCATATTTCCTGCATTGAAGAAAATAACTTGGTGGAAACCTCTCGGCAGGTGTACAAATAGGTTATTTTTGTTCACTTGCGTGACGTTGATGTCCGAGAATAAGTTGGAGGTAGGGTGTAGCAATTCTGTGACTCTGAAAACATTAATTAAAGAAAATCATCTAAATATATACACTATTTTTTTAAAATGATGTTACATCGTTCAGTTAAGGGGGCATATATCAGGTGGCGTATATCACATCAATATAAAAAGTTAAAGGCCCAGGTTTTCAGGGCTCATTATCAGGTGAATACGTTAACTTGTTTCGCTTACTTTTTATTTTTCGAACCTGGTTTATTGTGTTTATAAGGTGACGATGATCATTTCGGACCTTTCTGGTCCATCCTCAGGTCACACTTGGCACTCGCGAACTTGTCGAAACATAAAAAACTAAAAATTAAATAAAAGTATTGTTATTGCGTCATCAGCGAGCGCTTATCACTCCGCTCGAGCTCGTGGCTCCAACTCCGTGAGCTCTTGTAAGAAGGAGTAGTAGTGAAGGCCTAGGGTTAGCAGGTAAAAGCATTCACACATGCATTGGAAAGCGTTGGCCTTCTTCTACAAAGCTTTAATAATATCAAAGTATAATTTATTGAGATCAATTTTTTTTTAAGAGCAAAAAATAGTAGAGTAAAAATCATTCCTCAACCAGATCTTTTGTTTTTTCCTTTCCTGGTAGAGAATAATTCAGCCAAAGTACTTCTGCTACTGAGGATGTAAGACAATGTTCTACAAAAAGAACCTATTATTTTGATTAAAAATTTTGGACTGCAGGTTGTCATCGTCCCAGTAGGTTTTCCTGAAAATCTTATAATGGAGCATCCTTTGGCCAGCTTCCTTCATACTCCATGGTCTAGGCCTGAAATTAGAAAAAGAAAAAATTATCAACCTGGAGGAATGAAAAAACACGATTTTAATCATTAATTTTACGTCTGTAGAGTGAAAACTAGTTTGTTAGTTCTATACATTTGAATTCATAAAATTTTCTGGGTCTTCTACCATTAACATTAGGGGCATTGGCGGGAAGGGGGGGTTCCACATTTTTGAAATACATAATTTCATGCGGCACCTTACCCGTCATTACACTTGGAAAATTGAGGAATGTGTCGATACAATTTTGGTTAGGGTATCCTTTCTCATAAAAATTTGGTAGGATTATGGCTTTGGGCTGACTATTCTGAAATATTTCGCGTAAGAAAGAAAAGTTAGAAAGAAACAAAAAATTACAAATTGTGATTTAACGTATTGATTCTTGTATATAGATTGAATAAAAATAATAAAGTAAAAATAAAGGTAAATAATAAAGTAATAGGTTAATCGGTGTCCTAGTCGGTGATCCTAGTTCCCGACTAATCCTGTGCGAACAAACAACCACTACGTGTAATTCTCATGGTCACGGGCGTCCGTAAAGTGAAAACTAGTTTCTTAGTTTTACATTTGAATTCATAAAATTTTCTGGGTTTTCTACCATTAACCTTAGGGGCATTGGCGGGAAGGGGGGGTTCCACACTTTTGAAGTACATAATTTCATGCGGCACCTTACCCGTCATTACACTTGGAAAATTGAGGAATGTGTCAATACAATTTTGGTTAGGGTATCCTTTCTCATAAAAATTTGGTAGGATTATGGCTTTGGGCTGACTATTCTGAAATATTTCGCGTAAGAAAGAAAAGCTATGAAGAGAGGAATTGTGGGCGGCTACAATAACATCCCATTTCACACTGAGACTAAGAGTTTCCATTAGCGATAAATATTGCTGCTGCAGATATATTGAAGCGTCTCCAGGAAAGAAAATTGAATAATCTTGTTTTACCAATACACCAACCATTGAAACATCTTCATTGTAGCAGCCTCTCCTACTTTGTACTTTCCAACGGCAATTTATAGTGTAATGGTGGGGGTTGATAAGTGGTAAGACAACTTGTACCCAAATATCATCGACATTACGCGGGTTTGCGATTCTAAGAAAACCCGAATAGGGCAGTAGGGAGGTTCCTCCATCAGTAGTTCTGTATACCGGAACTCCTGCTGAAAGAAAAGCCGATGAAATTCATTCTTGGTGTTGCTTCACCATGGACCCAGTTTGCTAGGTTATCTAAGTCCTGAATTGTTAAGCGATTTCGAAAAGACCCCAAATAAACTTCAGTAGCCTGATAATCTTCAACAATGGCTCTAATTAGAATATAATATTCAGGCTGTGTATCCAAGAATTCTGGCACGCCATCGAAAACCACACATTCGACTTGAATATTCTCCCTTGCTTGTCTTTTCTCTTCGCCTAAGTTGCCATCTACAAACAATAGATATTTTAACAGGTTCCAATTATCAGTATCACGGCTGGTTATTAAAATACAGCGAAAAATTAAAAATTCATCTTCAGGTTTTTATGGTGATGGAATGCGGTTGCAGGTTGCACGATGCACGATAGGAGATTAGAAGAATAAAGATGGCCCGACCGATTGTCCGTTACAAAAAAGGCGCGAATAATACCTCCTTGGCGCGAACGAATGACAATGAACACATGGTTGAGGTTAGGTGCAGCATTTTTTTGGGACTTGATTCAAATTGAAAGTAAAAAAACAGAAACATAGTAAGTGTAATATATCAATACTTAATATACTTAAGTATATAAGTATATATACTTAGTTACTAGTATTAAGTATATATACTTAATATACTTAATACTTATCATAGCTTTGTAATGGCTTTGAGAAGCACTTAGGAGAGGTTTCCACGAGAAATTTTCTTTCAAATTAAAGAAAATCGAGGAAAATTGCGAGCCAATAAAAAGCCGGGAAAAGCTGGTGGCACCGATGTGCACCGGTGATCCCGGTGCAACACATCTGAACGCATCATCGGACCTGCTTATTCTCGTCAGCAGTTTTTGCCCAAACGGTACTTCATATATCCGCCAGCCGCCGCCGCCGTTTGAATCCGCCAGCTGATTCGAAGACCGACCGCCATTTTTTCAACCTCTAATTTCTAAGGTGTAAATAAGCGAACATAGAGGAAGTAAGAGGATATGCATAGGATGGTATTGAAACGAAAATTGAGCCCTAAACTTAAAAATTATTCATGTCCTTCTTGTACTGGGAGAATAGCGCGGATCGCTTGCCGGACAGCGGCTCAGCGAGGAGGAAATATTGTGACGTCNCCCACATGCATCTCACCACAGTGAACGCATGAGGGAAACACAGGGAGTTGTATTTCTTGGCATTCCTGGGGACGCGGGCAGTCAGCCAGGGCATGAAAATCCCCGCACAGCAGGCACCGAGGATCACGATAGCATCGTGATCGAGAGTGCCCAAAGGCGAGGCAGTTCTTACACTGGATGACCTCCCTACGTCCCTTAGGGCGCTCAAGTGAAACAATAAAATCCTTAATGGATTTTATTTGCCATATTTTGGCAACATGTACATTACTCAAAAAATCCACAAAAAATAAAGGAAGTGGAGTCTTCGTAATCTGATGTCGCATCTGAGAAACATTTTTAACAACTAAACCTGGGATTTTTTGTTCAAAATCGGATTTTAAACTCAGAGGAAGATAATCTCTAGGGAGACCCCTCACTACCGCCCTAATTGTCTTTTCTGATGCTTTTTGATAAGTATGAAACTTGACAATGTCATTTTTTTGCTTAAGGCTTACAATAAGTTTATCGTACATAAGCATAGATGAAGGGATAATTTTAACCTGAGAACGATTAACTATTCTCATCATCGATTTCGGATCGATGGGATCGATCTCACTTTTCTTAAATCCCGAAGGATCGGCAACAAAAGAAACAAAGATTGGAGGGGGAGCTCTCTCAGTCTTTTTCTCTTCTTTTTCTCCATCTAATTTAGAAAACTTATTATTAATATTTACAACACTAGGATTTTTAACACTAGACACTTTAACAGAGGCAGATTGTCTGTCTTTGGTTTTCTTCGGTTGCACCTTGGCCGGTGAATCGGGATCGTGACGGGTCTTCCGTTTGGAGACCACCAATTTCCACGCAGGGTCCGAAGGGGTTGCAGTGTCCATCGGCTGCGGCTGAGAAAGGGCTGGACCAAGAATGCAGGAATCAGGTTTCCTGCTCGTCTCGCCAGGCTTGGATTTCTTCTTATCCGCATTAGAAGCACTAGGATTAGGCTTCATGACAACAGCGGGAGGAGGATTTTTGACCGAATTCTTTGACAGAAATACGTCATCATCACTACCTGTCTCAGAAAGGGTAGTGGAAGAGGTGTCGCTTTGAACTTTGGCAGTTTGCGATTGTTCTCTCTTGGGACAAGGTCTCCAAAAACACTTGGTGTAACAAATATTACAGAGCGTCCATAACAATGAATGTTCACAATGAGGGGTTTTGAGGGATTTGCAGGAGTCACACTCAATCCCTAAAAGTTTATGTTCACATCGAAGAGGGGGTTTAGGGCGATCAAAGTAGGAGTATCAATGAGTAGGTAGGATCAAAGTAGTGATCATGATAAAGCAGAGAATTATGAAAAATTTGGAGAATTTCTGGTTGAATCTGAGTCAGCAAGGGGAAAATACCGCGATTCGGGTGTTGACAACTTAATTGAATTTGGTCGCCCCAGCCTCGAAGATTATAATTTTAATGGGCCCGGTCATCAAGAATTCGATGCATTTATCCTCTCATTTGAACAAGCTAGAAGAAGGTACCAGTGGAGTGATGCAAGTTCAATCCTTTTCCTGCAAGGCCATCTCCGTGATTACGCACTTAAATATTTTATTGGTTTTATGCGCACCCTTGTTGATGAGATTCCACGAACATGGGTGTATATTAGGAAGGAGTTTGCTGCCAAATTTCATCCTGATTCACCGGTCATGAAATTTCTTAATGCGGTTCAACAACAAAATGAGCCACTTATGGATTTTATCACTCGGAAGTTCAAACTCTGTCAAGACAACAACCTAGTGCTCTATGATTGCGAATTTGTGCATGGCGTTATCGAAGGCCTTCTCCCTGAATTTTCCGGTGCCTTCCGTCAGTTTTGCCCGAATTTTACTGACAGTGAGTTTGGATCTACTGTTTTATATTTTCTTGACAACCGGCATATTGCAGAGCAGAAATTATTAATGGAAGTCCCTTCCCTTCCAATCAGCCCACACGGTGAATCCAGAGACCAACCTCAAGCAGTATCCAAAGGTCAAAATGGTAAAAATTCCAAAATCATCGTGTTTGTTCCATTCGTGAATTGTATGCAAGCTGGAGTCACGTCAGACGAAGAAAATTCCACCAGTGTTGAGGAAACCAACTCCTACCCGAAGTCGAAAGCTTTCTTCTCGATGACTAAGGACCAGGGTCATGTAGCTGACGTCACCAGTGCCCACATCTTGGAAGCTAAGGCGTCCAAATCTACTCCGAACACTATCTCAACATCTGTTATCATCAATACTTGTAATGTAACGACGTCAGGAAAATCAGTTCGTCCACACTCAATTCACCTTAAAGCTTCATTTATTCTGTGCGGTAAATTCAACTCCAACAGTGTCGCTTGTGAAGAATCGAAAGTTTTTCCATGGCAACGACCATTTGTGTACCATAGGTTCCAGCTCAAAATTAAAGAAAGTATGATTCTTTTCTCTAAGGTTCCTCATAACGCCAAATTTTGGAACCTCAAGTTCAGGCCGCAGCCTTACCTATACCACCTCAGTGATAATGCTTTACCCCCTGTTAATCGGTTTCTATTGGGCACAAATAGTGTGTCTTCTAACGCGCCACTAGTTGACCCTCAAATTTCCAACTTTGGACAGTCGATCATCAGAGTACAGTTTTTTTCATCAAAGAATTCGCGGAAAATCAATCGAGCCAAAAGAAATGTGTTGAGTGCTAAATTGTTGCCAGCTTTTAAACTTAATCCGACGTTGTTCGAAGGCAATTCACCCAAACGGAAAACAAAGTCTCGTGAGTGTCATTTGGTGCGAAAATGCAAGTTTAAGAGGCAAAAAAGAAAACTTTTGGTTTAATAAGGGACAGTCGGGAAATGACCTGATACGCGCGCGCCTCTGGAAATCGATTATACTCTTCAATTAAGAAATTAGAATGTTAAGAAATTAGTTTTAAGAATTCATATGTGCGAGCAACACCGCATGCGAAATTATGTGTAACGGCATAAAAATTATAATGATCATCTTTTAACTCAACCTCAGAGCAAGCAGAATCATTAGTTGACATGTGACTAGGGCATTAATTGTGTAACTCTCCACTAATTTGTCCTTAATTTTTGTTTATAATAATCAACGCTCAGCGGATATGAGAATATTCAAACCTTAAATTGCTCTCTTCAGTTGTAACATGTAGCCATCGCAATTTTTTTTTTTTTTTTTTTTTTTTTTTTTTTTTTTTTATAGATACAGATCAATTAAACCCATTTCCCCAAGTTCTTTTTCCCGTTGGAAGACACTTTCTACAATGTTAGATCAAGAGTCTGTGTTTCTCCCTCTTCTGGATCTCATTCTGACCTGGGTCGATTCTGGAGTGGCAACTTCCTGCATCATATGTGTGTATACACTATTGGCTTATGTCAAGCTTGATACTTTCAGACAGATAAAAACAACACAACAACCAAGGACTAGCATTAACAGTACCAACCACACCACGTGAGAAACCAACATATGTGACACCTTTTCGTGTATCATCCTTTCGGATTCCTCTTTCTTTTTCTTTTGGACGAAGGCCATTAGGTCAGAGAGTTCCGATTGAGAGTAGATGGATGGCAGCTCCGGTATGATGACCTCAGATGTGGGAGTGACTCTCCGCACTTCTGTTTTATAAATGGTGTCTCGAGACGAGTAAGACCTTTCGTCGATGACTACGGTTTCAAAGCTAGTGTACGGGAAAAACCGTGCTTTGATGCCTGCTTTAGGAACGTGTTCCTCCATGATGATTCCTCGAACATCCTTCACTAACGTAATACTGTTACAGTTTCGAGCGAATAAACCAGACAATGTATATTTGACTGAACATGATTCGTGTGGGGCATACTCTCTTTGTATACGACAATCAACAGGGGAGGACTTGTTCATTAATTGGTGTAAACACTTTGATCTAGGAGATGATGTGGATGCTCTCGAATGGCATATCAACAATCCGGAGCGTGACAAACAGTCCTCCTTTTGTGTTTCCACTGAATAAGTGTTATTCTCCCACGTCACCTGATAGAAGCTGTTAGGGATCTCGTATTTGACATGGTACTCTTCTTCTCTCCATCCAAAGTTCTCAACTGAGTAAATAGTCGTCAGATCTTTAGAGTACGCTTTCGGTGTAACGATGAGAAAATACAGCGATTTAGTCTTCTGGTTGATGTGTGTTAAAAAGGATGTGGATGCACTATAGAATAGGCCCATGTCCTCTTTGTACACCGAATCTGAAAACTCTGTGCGATTTAGTAAGCTCCCGTTTATAAGTTCTCTGGTCACTAAGAAGTCTGTTACATGGCCGTCGACCGCCTGTTGTACGTTATATGTAAGAAAATCCACGTATTCTGTGATCGCTAAATTGAGATAATCATCAGTGTGTCCTTTCTCCATCGAACACAAAGTATTCTGCAGACTTGTCTCAAAGACCTTAGATCTCGCGTAGTTTTTTGCAAACATTGACGAGGAAAGCATGGAATATTCTGCATTGGACAAAATGATCTTTTCGTCATTATTGATATGTGCTTCAACATTCTCTACATGCTCCTTTATTGACTTTTGCGATAAGTAGGTGTACAGCCCCATTCCTAAAGATACTACTCCGAATATTGTGGCCGCAATGGGGATATTAACAAAACGCTTTGATCTTCTCAATTTCTTATTAGAAGAGTTGATAGATTCCACACAATCTGTACCAGGAAGTGAACACAGTGAGTCCTCTTGGTCATAAGAAGTTCTAGGTAACATTTGGAGGATTTTCGCCGTTCTCTCTTTAAAGTCCTTCTTTAACTCTTCTCTAGCAATGTGCTGCTTACAGTTGGAAAACAGTTCTGCGCGTGATTCCGGGAGTACTGAGTCAAGCTTAATCATTACCGTGGTGTGTACTACTGAATCGTGATGCAACACCAAGTTCTTTGGCTCGATTAGAATCCCTGGTTCTTTCAAGAACACAGACTGGGTCTCTAATGGTGATCCTTTTGCAATGAACACAACTGCACTCATCATTGTAAAGCCGCAAACGATCATGATCGTACTAGATGGTGCCATGGAGTTGGATATAAATTGACACTCAAATCACATTCATGGAAAACTCAACTGAACATATACACAGAACACTTAATTTTTTTTTTGCAAACAGAGACGCAGTCGTCAGTTACACGGAGGTTTGAAGTGTGTTCGCTACATTTACTCAATACTATTTTTTTTATTTCTGTTAATTTCATGTCCGAATAATTTTTTTCTCATGTTGATGAAATTTTTCATGTATCGACGGAAAAATCCGCCGTACTAGATTAGAGTAAAACACAACATTTGGCCATAGAATAGGTGTTAGTGAAATATTAAGATTTCGAGGCCTTTCAATCCTCTTATTTGTATCTTTAAGATGGAGCACAGCAAACAAAAAACGCGGTCAAATATTATTTTATATTAGGTAATTTTTGGTATTTTATATATGACGGTCCACATGGTTTCGAACCTAGAATTTTTCTAACTACATCCTTATGAAAGTAAGGATACTTAAATGTCATTGTTTTGGTATTGGTACTTCTCAAATGCTAGGGCCTTCCGAGCGCACCTTCAATGCTTCCTCACTGTTCTTTTTATCAGCCAAGTTTTACGTTCTACTATAGCCCTTTTAATTAGTGTCGTTCATCTCCATTTTTAGTTTTGTTTTGGTTTGCTACTAACCAACATTGGCGAGTCCAGTAGATTGGCAACACTGTTTTTCTCCATTTAAACCTATAGGAATGTTTTGATTTTTGGAGGGGCCAGGTGCTCCAAAAAGAATCGATTATTTAACGTGAGTTGAAATGGAGGGAATCCGTTGTTGCCAAATTGCTGGATCCGCCCTTGCTAAGCATAGCAGTAAAATCACAAATTAAAGCATATTCATATTCAGAGCACGACCTTCCAAATCCGTAGAAATGTGAAATCAGACAAAACCTCTGAGGCAGAGAAAATTCCGTGATCTTTCGATCACAACAATACAGGTCATTTTCTCCTTAGTCTCAATTAGTTTTTTTTCGTTTAAAAATTTAAAAGTGCAGACCAGAGATGAAAATGTTTTAACCTCAGTTTGTTCGTTTCTACTGAGCGAAGACGCGCTGCATATAAATGTAATAATGTGCATAGGGTTTGCGTTGAGCGTGGTTTTTTTTTTTTGTAGTTCTTCTTAGCGAAGAACGATCTTGCCGGAAATTTAGAGTGAAGTAAATGGTTGCCAAATAGGTACTAATAATGGCGATTTGCTTCAACAAAAAAATTTTTTTGTCAAAACTTACAAAATTTTCGTTAGTTAAGTAGAGCATTTAAGAAACTATGATTTTTAACTTCAGTATTCTGACAGAAATGGAAGAAAGTTATTAATTTTCTTCTTCCTCCTGTATAAGTGACATGTTTATTGACTCTGTATTTACGTTTCAACAAACTAGAAATAACTTGGCATCCTCAGTCTAGGCCTAGTTCTACACCATCGGTCCACTCCGACATCCGAGACTCAGAGAGAGAGGAAATCTACAGTCAGCAGTAAACGCTCCGTAACACCGAGGTATCTTATCCCCTGATCCTAGCGCCTTATGAGTAGAGACCAAGCTTGTTGAAATCAAGTTGAAATGCAAACTCTCACACTGAAAGAGGCCCGAGTCTCATCGCAAAAAAACTAGGCATCAGCATTTCCCGACGAGATCTTCCACCTTTGTCACACAGACTGATCCATGGGTAGAGTAAACGTTTTCACAGTCAACTTATCAGATATCCCGTCTCCTTACATCAGCTCTCGAGATGTGGTGGTCGGTCTGGGACTGGCCGGTTCGCGCGGAGTGCGGGAGCGGGGCTTGACTTGTGATGTCATAGTGTTTCCGCTGATGTGATTGCGCTGTTTTCCAAGTACAGGGATAGTGTGAATTTTTTTAAATTCTCGCCTTAGGTGCCTGCCCCCCCCCCCCCCCCCCCCGGGGGAAGAACCATTCCAAACGCGCGGGGTCGCGCGTTTCTGCGAACGGTGGGGGATGAAACGAAAATTGAGCCCTAAACTTAAAAATTATTCATGTCCTTCTTGTACTGGGAGAATAGCGCGGATCGCTTGCCGGACAGCGGCTCAGCGAGGAGGAAATATTGTGACGTCATAGGTTAGATTTTGCTCTTGTTTCCCGTGTGAACCGCGGCCAGCCCTAGATTGATCAGCACTTTTCGTGAGATGCTATTGGCGTAAAGGGGCAGGACGCGCGGGACGTAGGAAGCGGCGGTGCACGGTGACGCGCGTTTTCCGGAAAATTTCTAAACTCAGTCGCTCATGTTCGCCGGGATGGGAAATGTCGCGATTCCGTGTAATGTCCAGGTGCACGTAAAATTTCATCCCTGAGTCCTCAAAGTGTTTTTCGGCGGTGTCGAATCAACCTCCGTAGACCTCTGGAATAGAGGATCAGCACATTAGAGTCGTCCGACCGTTGCCTCC